TAACACGAAGTTTTTGTATATTGGACTTCATCATGCCTTTGTTTTGATTGTCACTGGCTACTGCGCGTTTTGGACTTAAGAGACTGAAACCAGTTGTTCACCAGTCTCAACTGTTAACATCGTATTACGTCACTTGTAAAATATAGCATTGAATTTACAAGGTATTCTTACTTCAAAAGAGAGCTTTGAGAGTTATTCTTGGGCAGGGAAATGTAGACAGCAGTTCCTCAAAACTTTTACCAGTTTTAAACCAGTTCCTTGTGGTGATAAGCTGAAACCATTGTACATTTCATACTTCAGCATAACGAAGAATACATTGTTTCTGCATAATATATTGTACATAATAATGTAAATAAATTGTGTCTCAATCAGTAAATTGTTGCCTAAGGATCAAGATTGTCCTTTGAAAGTCAACGTTTAGCGTCAGTTCCTTGTTTCTCTTCCGCCTCATTGACGTTCCGCGTGTGTTTCCATTTTAAAATATTGTTTTCAACCTTGGAAAATAATATAGCCGACTATGGAAAGATATGAACGTGTCGTGAGAGCGAGCGGGTCAAAGTCTCCGCATAAGGAGATGCAGAGGCGGTCCAACTCTCTCGACCCTCTCGACTTCTTTCTTCGTTAAAGTCGCCTACGCCTTGTAACGGAAAAGCGAGACGCCGCGCGGCAAAAGCCGTAAAATCTTGGAGAGGGGCCTTCCGAATAAAATCCTTTGGCAAAAAAATCGTTACTGTTTAACGATCTTTGTGACGGGACGATTTGGAGTCTTCATAATTCATATCTTAAATGACCGTCCTATTTAGTTGTCCTATTAGCATTTAGCTAGTTAACTGTACATATGGAAAAGGGTTAACAATTAGCACACATTGCACATGTGATGTTTTCACATTGAAAATAAAATTATTTAATTGAAGCTTGGCCATTTTCAATCATTTCTGTCTGTATGTCCTCATTGTTTTTGTGATTCAGACAAGTTTCGGCTTTTCGCCATCTTCAATCTGTCAGAAGAAATCTCACAAACACAACAGAATTTTGTAATGTGCATTCACTTTTTCTTATGCCGCCCCATAATGACTAGAAAGTTTTGTCAATTTACTTAACGAAAGAAAGTGCATTCATATATGGATTAAGAGGATTGATCCTTTATCCGTAATTTATCACTATAAAGTATAAATATATCGGGAATTTCATTTCAAAGATCTCGAAGCGGCAATGTGACAGGCGAAAATTTAGATCCGTCCAGCGAGTCCACCAATTCTAAATGTTCTTCCTATAAACATAATTTATTTCTCATTACGATAAAATCTGAAATGAACTTGACATTTACCATATTATACTTTGTTTTCATATATTCAAAACAAATTATATTCCTACGTTTGTTCTGGAAGTAAGGCGCACTTAATATATCAAACTTTCATTGCATGGACGATTATTATGTGCTTAAATTATAAATTTACAACCTATTAAAACATAATAATACAAATGTATACATATATTGATACGTTTTTGGGTGTTTCAGAGAGTGAGTGAGAGGTGAGCCGGAGAAAGAAAGGGAGAGAAAGAAGGAGAGATGTGAGAGAGAGCGAGAGATAGAGTGAAAGAGAAAGTGAGAGAGTAGAGAGAGGGCGAGTGAGAGGACAGAGAGAAAAAAGGAAGAGGAGACAGAGTAAGAGAAGAAAGAGACAGTGTGACAGTGAAAGAAAAGGATAAAGATAAAGGGGAAAGAGAGAGAGAGAGGAGAGAGGGAAAGGGAGTGAGAGAGAGGGAGAGAGAGAAAGAGAGAGAGAGAGAGAGAGAGAGAGAGTGAAAGGACATACAATGCCAGGAGAGAGAAGGGGGAGAACGAATAAGAAGAGAGAAAGAGAGAGAGGAGAAAAATATAGAAAAACGTGAAAAAAAAGTGAAACAAACAATGAACTGACGACTTGGAGGTAGATATGCAAAATTTCAATTACTAAAAAGGTTGCATATTATTTATATTGTATATTATTTATTGCAACATATATAAAACTAATAAATACACATTTACACCATTCAAAACACCAATTGAAAAGAAAAAACCGACGAACAAAAACCGACCGGAAAAAGATTGTACCAAACACACCGACAAACATAACGCTCACAAGCACCAACCCCATCACTTCCTTATTAAAGAGACTTCAAAGAAATCGCACAGACCCTACTCTGAAGATGGCCGAAACGAGTCTACAAAGTACAGACTAACACAGTGCAAACCAAATAGATCGGTAACGCGCGCGTGCGCGCGCGCCCGTGTGTGTGTGTGTGTGTGTGTGTGTGTGTGTGTGTGTGTGTGTGTGTGTGTGTGTGTGTGTGTGTGTGTGTACACGCGCGCCTAATAAAAATATCAGCATTTATTGATATCAGCCATTGAATTCGGATATTATAAATGCCATGGAATACAATGTTTTTTTTAATAATTAATATCAACCGTTTGGTAATCGTAGATTGGCCTCTAGCAAGTGCAGCTACTGACCTTGATGAAATGAAAAAAAAGCCAGGGAGCCCTTATTAATATTTCACCGTCTTATCGTTATTGTTAGCTTCACTAACATTGTCTGGGTTCGCCTTGTTTGTTATGTTTTATAGATATGGGAAATGCCTTTGATTCGTACAAAGATAATGTTTGTGCCAACGATTGTTCGGAAATTCAATCTTAATGTCAGTAATATTTTGGTTTTAGGGGACGTTTTATACAAGTTTTTACAAGAGACCACAAGAGATTTTTATTTAAAAAAAGCTGGTAGGCACTCCTTTGGGCCTTTCTTCAACTTTATCACTTAAACTTATAAAAATTAGGTTAAAAAATCATAGAATTCTATGAGCTTTTTATAATGAGATTACTGAAGCGCTTCGGTACAATGATTCTCAAGAGCTTGACTTCGAAAAAATTCGATCGGACCCAACACTGTGTCTCTGTCACTGGAATTTGTTCGTTGATTCGCGTGGGATTTCATTTAACAGTTCAACGGTTTCGCATCTGTGAAGTGTGAAGTTGATTATCCAGGGATTTGCCCTTAGGATAAAATAATCGCTTGTTAAAAACCGTCGAAAACATTGAGTTAAATTCTTAATGAAGTTTTCTCGGTAGGGGTTCATATATCCACATTTTCATTCCATATGTAATTACAACTCGTTAATAAGTGAATAGTCGCATAAAAAGTCATTATAGTAAGTCAGAAAATATTTTTCACAAAGTAAACTATAATATCGAAAAGATCGCCTTGAACCGAAATTTAAAGTATTTACTACCATTTATCTCTTAATTACATAACGAAAATGATTCTTTTTAAAGATTTTATGACCAATTTAATCCATTGTTTTAAACTAAAGATCGAAATTTTCTTAGCTTCTTTTCATGACCGTTCACGTCGATGCTTTCGCTGTCTGACATGTCTGGTTTCGCGCTTTAATCACCCACCGGTTGTCATATAACCCGTTTCGAGATTCAGATAATATTCGAGATGCAGTTACACTGGCTAGCACTCAGGAGAAGATAAAAAGATAAAACCTGAGATCAGTTCGCGGATCAATACGTCAACCAAATTTAACATCTGCATATCAGTATTTTTAATGAGGGTATCTTTAGAATTACGGTCTATTTTTCTTAATTAGCTTAAAACCTCGTTCTATTACAGCGATTTTAACTCAATCCTTTCCATTTTTTAAATTCTGTAATCAAAAAGGTCCTGTACACTAAGGAATGATATGATGAGTGATGAATAATGGTGTTAATAGTATTAGTTTTTATTTTACGAATATTTCTCAAGTCCATAAAGAATGATCATTATATTATTTTGCGTTTTACTAATTGAAAGAGTTGAGTTGGTATGTTTGTAATTTCCTACAAAGTAATATCTTTAACTGCAGAATACCGTTGGACCGTTTCGATATTCAAAACTGCCCCCTCGACGCCTACACGAGGGCTTTCCTCGGTTTTATTGCATCCTTCAGCTGGATATTATTTGTTTATTTTCTTTAGAAAAAAAAAAGAAGATAGATCTATAAATTTTAAATTATTTACAAGTTATTCAGAAGTATATGATATTACAGCAAGTTAAGAACGACGGTGGCAAGGCTCGAAAGAAGTGTGCGCTTATGTGTATGTGCATTTATTTAGTCATAATAAATTCGTCAAAAAACCACGAACTGAGCTATGATTCGCGATTAAAATCGTGGTTAGTATAAACTTGTTTTTAATTGAGACGATAGCGATTTTAGGTAAACGAACTAACGACCGCTCCAGTTTTTTATTCACATCATCATTGGGTAATGCTTTTTTATCAATCGATTTATTTATTAAAACTGGGCTAAACCATTAATTTTAGATTGATTGTTATGAACACAAAACTAGTTAAATTTTAAATCCATTATATTTCCTGGTCCGATTGATCAAATAATTTCTTTCAATTAATTAACCATTTTATGTAAGTTTATTTAGAAATCGTGAGATGCGGTCTGGTGTGATGTAGGTTTCAGAAAAACATTTTCTTTATCGTGCCAATGTTTCGATCTTTATTGAGATCATCTTCTGAAGATATATATATATAAGACTCAGAATATCATATTAATTGTTTTCCCTTTTGGTAAAATTTTGTAGCAAATTAGATAATTTGAAGTAAAAAATTTGATGCGAAAAAGGGTTAATTTGACAGGAAAAAGGTATGTATAAGCCACATATAATATTGACTTATTTTCCCTTGGTAGTTAAAATTTTGTGGCAACTTAGTTCATTTGACGGTAAAAAAGGGGGTTAATTGATGCGAAAAAGAGTTAATTTTGACGGGAAAAAGGATTCATTTGACAGAGAAAAGGTTTAATTTGACGGAAAAATCGGTTGGCATGTAAAATTGAATTTATGAACTAGGTCTACCATATGATTTGTCATGGTGACTGTCGAACAACTGAAAGTTTGCGGGATGTCAAAAAACAACGAACGCTTCAGTAAGCTTATAATTTTTCGCCATGACCAACAACCGGGATGAAATGAGTCGGAAGTATAGTTGGTACAGAGCATAAACGATTTATGGGGATTTGTGTGGCCCACATCTGCCATACAGGGAGGAAAAAAGGGCCCCTGTACCTCAGGGGTCAAGATTCGTCTTCAGCCTTTCACGCTACGTGCAACATCGCCGGTCCATCGCTCAATCGTCACCGAGAGGGGATGAGTGCAGCAACCGGGATTGAAGACGATGCAGATATCCAATGGATTTTGAATCCATGCCGCCAGATGTTCAAACCAGCCAATAGGCATTTGGATATCTAAGAGGCGGGAGTCGAACGACTGTTGCCCGCTTAAAAGCCGTCTCCACCTCCCTCCGTTTGTTTAGAACCGCATCAGACCCCGATCTGGCTACTTCAGTCCTGTTGAAACTTGAGCTTTCCTGCTTCCTGGAACTGTAAGTAACCGACTTCGAGTCAATTTCGTATTTTACGACCTTAGCGTTCACTACTCCGCTACAATAAACAATAATTACCAATTTTAACAAACAGAAAATACCCAGAAAAAACACATGTTAAAGTTTCGTTCAAAGTAATATTTAATTGAAATACATACGACAAATTTCCTTTGTTAAAACAGGCTGTGATTTTTATTTATTTCGTTAAATATATTTATTCTATACTGATGAGCGTTGAAATGCGCCGTAGGACGAGCAGGTGTCCTTTTCCCTTTCGACCGTTTATTCCTGCGTACCAACTCCCCCTGAAATCACAATCCATTTCGACTAAAAAAGTCATTTTAATTTTAAATCGTACATAAATAAAAAAAATAAATAATACAAGGGGCCTACTTGTAAAACGAAGTAACGTTCATTGAACCTTGTCTGTATTAGGGACTTTAGGTTAATAATTTTTTTTAAGTTTTACATTTTACAATGCATTAACTTTAAATGTAAACAAGAGTACGTATAAAAAAGTATTCCCAAGTATAGTATATATCCTTTATAGTACTTTTTTAAAATATTTGTTTTTGTAGTATAGTAATTTTTTTTTACTTTTCAAACCGCGCTTGTCCTTTTCGTAAAGTTTCAGTTAAATATTTACGTAGACTGTTAACGAATTTACGTTATCTGTAAATTTTTAATACGTTTATGTTAGAGTGGAATTAGTAAAATATTTCCTTTTTAATAGCAATTTTAATGCCACCATTGTCTATGTATGATAGTTTCAGTTAATTACGTAGATCGCCAGGACTCGGTTAACGAATTTTAGTTAAAACGTATTTACGTTTTCAGTAAACTTTTAATACGTTTGTTGAAGATGCAAATGCAAGTGGAATTTGTAAAAAATATTGTTAGTTTCAATTAATAGTAAATTTTAAACCACTCGTCCGTTTCTGAGAGTTTAAGTTAAATACTTACGTAGATCGCCAGGACACAGTTAACCAATTTATGTTAAAACGTATTTACGTTTTCAGTAAATTTTTAATACATATTTGTTAAATATACTATACATTAAATTAATAATGTATTTGTTGTATGTACTACTATTACTATACATTAATACATATTTGTAACAGTTGTAGTTAGTATTACGACTACTGTAGTAAGAAAGGAAGTGGAATTAAAAAAATTTTTAGTCTTTTAATTATAATGTATCAACCATTTTTGTTAGTTGAAGTTAAATATTTATGTTAACAGTCATGACTAAGTACCAAGTACCTCAAAGTACCTTTTTTCGTTTTGCAAGATGGATTTTGTTTGTATTCACATTTATTTTTAATTTGTTGATGTTTGACACTATTTAAGAACCAACCGTCTTGGTAATACCATCAATAGTATTAACAGCAAGCTAAAATGTTGATATATTTTAAACCTTGTTTTCTGTTTAGCGTTAACTGAGTTAAAAAATAAAGATAAAAATGTATTAATGCTTCAATCATTTTTGAACTTTCTTTGTACATATTTGTTTAAAATAAGATTTTTTAAAAGCGGTTTTTGTGTGTAATCAAGGCAGGCATGAAATTGTAATGCTCTGTAAGATTGTCAATTTGTATAAATGAAAATTCCCTCAACCTGTTTTATTATAAATTGTCTTGTCAAAGATGGAGATAATTTTTTATATATTTTCATTAATAATAAATTAATGTTTAAGGGGATTTAAACATTGTTTTGATTAAATAGTAACTTGTTAATTTAATTCTATCCCGGATCACAGCTGGAATAATTTTTTTAAACTCAACATTGTATCGAAAGAGAATTGTTTTAATTATATTTTCACTGCTAATTTATTTTATTTTTTGTGGTGATTGAAACGTTATTTCCTTTAGATATTAATTGTTCATTTTATTTATAAAAAACCTGTTATTTGAACACGACTGTGGTAATTTATTTAAGCCATTGCTTGCACAAACAAAATATTAAGAAAATGGCAATTTTGGAATATAAACACCTGTTGAAAAGCTTTAGTGAAAAACTAATTTCTTTTTCACATTTTAATAAACAGAACAATTTCAAATTGCATGACTGATAAGGACAGGAAGTTCCATGAATGAATAATCACTGTGTCACCTGTGTATTGATCTTTTCCAGTTAATGTTGAGACAGACTTTTCAGCCTCATTGACAAATCCGTCATCAGGATGGGGGATGACGAAATGCTTTTGATGACGGCCGACAAAATTGATAGCGAGCCATTTATCATCAACGGTTCACACTATCTTCAGAAAATGGGTTTATCGATTGTGTGAATTTGTTTTGTCCATTGAAAACTATTGTGCAAACTGCAGTTTTATCATCTTGGTACTGTCAGATAAGAAATGCCTGGCACCAGTTAACAGAAGTTGAGGGGGTTTTGTTCAGTGCCTTTCAGCAGATAGTCTTTGCTGTTCTGCTCTTGTAGCACACTGGCAAGTCCTAATTCTTCACCCTCCAGGTAAAATTTGATAAGTCCAAAAACATTTTTCTGGATTGCTATTTTAAAGTTTAAATCTTTTGTACAAGTTAAATTTTTGTAGTAACTTTTTTATTGTGCTCTTACATTTCATCAAATTCACTGTAGTCACGATAAATAAGTTTTTTAATTTATTTAATTGTCGACTTTTTTGGTACTTATCACATTTTGCGCTGACTCTTATCTAGTTTTTAGCATGAATTTCCGATACTTAGAGATTATCATACTACATCTGCAGTTATTTGCATGTACCATTGATTTGCTAGGTGGGTAAAATGGGATGTTAAATTGTATTAAGAACCACAAAAATGGGTGAGCTAACTGCTCTAATTCTCCTGTTACCAACAAAACAAGGGGTCATAAAAGTAGGTAAAAAATATATACAACTAAGTAATAATAGATATTTATTCTAGAGTTATTTGAGTTTATAAATGGATAACTAGAATTATCAAAATGTTGACATAACTTTTTGAGATCTCTAAAAAGGCACATTCCTATAAAATGAAATTCTTTCCTTCTGGTCTTAATCATTTATACATTGTCAGGTCTAAAAACTTGGAAATTGAAATATGCACTTATCTCATCGTTACGTTATGTTTTAAAATCCTAAGTATTTAATTCAATGAAATATATTTCTGTAGTCTATTAGTAAGTATTGTATCTTGGATACTACTCCTGCATAGCTGAAGTATCTTTAAGGTAACAAACACATCAATCATTATACTTTCTTCATAAACCAAATTTTTTTAGTTAATTATTTTTTTCAAATGTATTCATTTACAAGCAAAAGCCATCTTAAAACAACTTGGCTTTATATAGTTAGATTGTAAAAGATTAGACCATTAATCATATTTACATACGTTTAATGTGTAGTTTGATTGTATCTGATTGTCCTGGTTATTCACATCAGAGATGACCAAGATACAGGTTCAACCTTTTTCAGGCCTCACCAAACACATATTATTTATTATTATAAAAATCATTGTAAATGATTTAACATATTTTTACATTCTGTTTTAGATAAGCTTTTTTTGGAAGATTGATATTGAGTTTCTACGTTACGATGTCGACTGCAGTATTTTCTGACCGTAAGTTGCTCGCTATTAAAACTAACATTTATAGAAATGATGAATGATGGAGTGAGTGCGGTGTTCAATCCTTTTTATAAAGATAGTTCCTTCTCACAATAAGTTGTTTTGCAACAAATTGTTGATTGCAAAACAACTTAATGTGAGTAAGAACTATCTTTTTAAAAAATAACTAACATTTATTCTAAGTTAAATATATAAAAGTTTGGACGATTTAATATATGTAGAAATTTAACGGCTTATATTTTTTAATGTGTTATTTATTACATTGATAGATGAAGGCAAACAAAAGTAACACAATTTTCATTAAAAATTTGTCGAGTTTTGGGTGTTGACTGCTCCCCGTTTTCAGTGAAGGAAAGAATAATTAAATTCACTAATTTCGTGGTCCACTTGACCAATTAATTAATTGTAAAGAATAATATTAACAATATTATCACTTAAGATAATATTGTCTACAATTTTATATACTTTTCAATACAATCTTATTGCTGTAGACATGCAGAAAATGTTCTGAAAAAATGTAGTTCCTTTACAAACCACAAGAGTGCTGCAGTTTTACAGTTTTCTTGTAATTTCCAAACGGACATTAACACATTGCACATGTACATGTTTTACACAAATAAAAAAATTTGGAATTTATATTTTATTTACATTAAAAATAAATACAATTTTATTGCCTTGCATAATACGTTGTATTGTTTACAGTTGACAACAGTTTGACCAAACAATGTGCAAGTTTGTAGATGGAAAATAGTTGAATACTATAAAAAATGACAAATAGCTAATCGGTGCTTTAAATTGATTATTTTTTGTTGAATAGTTCTCTGTAACTGTAAATGCTTATCAATAATATGATAATGAAACAGTGGTGGGAGAGTTAGGTTGACACATTCTTACGATTTTCGTACTAGTGAATTTGCAATTAGTTTTAATTTTATATAATTAGATGGATATAATTAGAGGTCAGACTTAAATTATTATTTATTTTAAAAAAACCCATAAGATATGAGGCTACGGTATAATTAAACAGTGGTGGGAGAGTTAGATTGAGACATTCTTAAGATTTTCATACTTGTGAATTTGCATTTAGTTTTAATTTTATATAATTAGATGGATATAATTAGAGGTCAGACTTAAATTATTATTTATTTAAACAAACATAAGATATGAGGCTAATTAGAAAGAATTGATTTTAAAGTTGGAGTTTTTATCGAGTGATGGTAATCCCATTAGAATTTTTTGAGGTAGCTTCATAAGGTCTTTGTGATGAAGTAGATTTTTTGGGTTCACCAAGCTTTCGGTGATTTATACCGCCATCGTTGGGCTTCATCCAATGATGTAAATTAAAAACACCATTATTTTTATTAACGTCAGTTTTAATTAAGATAAGATTTAAAAAGTAAGGAAAAATCCAAACAAGAAGATCGTTTGGTTTGCTGGGTGATAAGACTGTTATAAGCTATTGGTTTCTTCATCGAGCTTTTGAGGAATACATCCTCTTCATACATCTTTGAAACATTAATTAATAATTTAAAAGGTTAACAAATATAAAGATCTATTCACAATTTTGAAAGTTTATGTAATTTGATCTTTAGTGGTTAAAAAAGTTAGGCGTTCTAATTCTTAAAGTTAGGAGGGGAATTTGATATGATTCATTTAAGGTTTCTTTGGTGTTTCGCATTTTTTAAAATTAAATGCCAAAATTTGAAATCTTAATGTTTTAAAAGAACCAAACCTAGGACCATGTTAGAATATTTTCCCACCTGCCCTCTGTTCTGATGTGGTTTTCCGATTTCATCTCAAGGCAAAGAGCGGGCATAAATAAAGGAAAATTGGTTTTATCTTGTCTATTGATTACTTTTTTCTTCATTTAGACAATTCCAGTAGTTTATCCCTTTAATGAAATTCTAGGGTGGTTTTCTCGGCTCTACAAATTTGTGCCAAGGTCACAGCTCTAAGTATGTTCCGTTTCCTGTGGTAATGCCAAATTTTCTTAATTTTTTAAATTGTTGAAAGCGGACATGTTTATGTTGTTTTCTCTCGGGAGGACCGAAAAGGGCGAGTGGCTTGGCTCCGAGATGCAATAAACGGTCAGAATGAAGCAAGGGAAAATGGTGGGTGGGGGTGGAGGCTGAACTGAAAGCGAAGAGGGCATTTTAGGGTCAACGCCCCTATCAACTACGACTTATATTTGTGAAAGAACATAAAAAATTTGGCTTATTCTAATCATATATTTTAAACCAGACGATGTAGTTTTTTGTTTTAATATTCATCCCTGGCATTACAGGAGATCAATAACCGAAGGTCCTTAACAAGGTTCATCGCTACCGGTAATTAATGCACGTTAAAAATATAAAAGTAAACTTTTCAATATACTGAAATCACGAAACTTGTAAACTAATATTCAATCATCATTTTTTTTCTTTTAAAATGGCGTTATTACTGACAAACCATATAAAGCAGGTGGTTTTATCATCGCCCTTAAAATAAATCTAAAGGTCTACTTTATTACCCGTTATTATGTCAAATGGGTAATTTGGAAGGGAAAAAAAAGTTATGTTTACTGGATAATTTGACCACACACCACTGTTAAATTACAAAGGAAATATATGCGTTGATAGAATATAAATAGCATAAAGAAAACATAAGCAAAATACATAAATGAAATGGTGGAATGGACATGTCCTCCATGCCCTTTCTCCTTACACCTCCCTCTTGAATATATCTAAGTGAAGACTTATTTAAATAACAATAAAAACAACAATTAATTTTACCAAATAAATAACATCCGATCGGAAATGAGAATTGAAAGGTTGATGGGTACGAAATAAATTGGCTTTTTCACAATAGGCGTTTATATTGTCAGACGCGTTTCGGTCTAATATAGACCATCTTAAGTGATATTTTTTATTTATTTTTATAATCAAATGGTTTGTTACCTAGCTCTAAGTTCTGGACGACTATGGACTTGGCTAGTCAAGAAGTCAAAGAACGAATATATTGGACTACTCGCAACGTCCATAGTCTTATCCGTAGGTATCTATATTTAAACTTAAACACTTAAGATGGTCTATATTAGACCGAAACGCGTCAGACGAAATAACCGGCTATTGTGGAAAAGACAATGTATTTCCTACCCATCAACTTGTTATGGAGTTCCACAAAATTAGGATATACACCCAAAATATTAGGATTGAAAAGAAAACGATTTATTTTTATAATAAACGTGTTGACCTTGCCCAAATTGAAAAATTAGGAAAATTTTCCGCTAGAAGCCTAAAGGCGAGGGAAAGTAAAATATTGGCGTCCTACCCTGAATTGCATTACACTTTTTAGTAAAGGGCTGGTCGGGGTGGGTTCCTAGTCTAATCTTCTGCCCCTCGCCCTTCCAATAAATCTTAGCAACTCTCTAAACTTATAAATCTGAGATTCAAGCTCTCACCGGTTGCTTCATCCTTCCAGGCCGGTTTGCGATGAGACAAAACCTGCTCATCCTTTTCGCTTTTCAACATTCAGTTATTAAAAATGTATAAAACCACTGTTATTTAATATGTATAAAGCTTAGTTTGTAGTGAATATTCGTTTTTAAATTTTGTAATAAGCCAACGAAGGAACATTACATGCAATATGGATTTACATTGGGTTTATTGAATAAGAGGATTTGAAACGTTATCAGACGGTTTTTGTTTATCGAAGTCACAACTCTCTTTTGCTCGAAAGAAATCTATTAGATTAAAAAGCTTCAAAAGGGGGGGGGTCTTCAACTTGAATCTTGAGTTCTTTTATCTAATAATGACATAATTAAAATGGTATTTGTGTTAGGATACCAATCCATTCGCTGCCCCTCTCTAATATACTCATACATATATGTATTTTTAATCAACATTTGATGTAACTGGTTCTGTGTCTTACTTTTATCATCAGAGTTTGAACATGAATGGCAATGTTAGCTTTGTTTCAAGGCTAAGCCCAGGCAACGGACATTTCCCCTGCGAGGAATAAGTTCAGTAAGGTTAATATTGGGGTTGGATCTTCTTTTTCGTTACGTAAATTTCAGCCTAGTACGCCACTTTTTACACCATTCTCCGGTAAGGACTGAAATTATTTGGGGCTACGTTGCTATTGAAATGTAACTATGAGGTTTTTAATATTGACAAGTCAGGATGTCTTGTCAAAAACCGTAGCTTGTAACTTTAAATTAGTTTTTCGGCTCTCCAACCAGTCAGTAACAGGTAGAATACACTAAATACCGATTATGGTGTAATCCAAATCAACCAGGCGTATAGATTATTTCTTGTTAAATTTTAATAAATTTTACCTGAAGGGTCTTTGAAGCTTTTAACCGATCAGCCCTCTGAAATTTACAATTTCGTTTACTAATTTAGAATTTGCCTATGTTTATTTAACATTTTATGTATCTCGTTGGAAGGCTACTACATATTTTTTCTCCAAAAAAAGATAGGCAGTACTTTCTAGTTTTCATCTTTATTATTTGCCATAGTATAATTCTTTTTACATAAATATCGCCCTGATCTGTTTCTATTTAAGATTTGAAGATAAAAATCCAGTACAAATCGTGTAAGTTAGCTTATTGTTATTGTTGGAACTTTTATGTCAACGATATAAGCCGGTTCGATCGCTGTCTGAAGGTCAAAAATCGTTTTGCTTTTGTCGGAGGACGACGTTAAAAGAACTGTTCGAAAGCGATTTAGATGTTAGGAAATTACGCGCAGAGAATTCTTATTCCACAACTTTTATATGAAGATGGTCAACAATTTTTTGAATTTATCTAGGATGATAATAATCTTAACTTGGTAGAATATTTATAAATCAAAATTAAATATACCTATTATTCAAATTTCAAATAATTACTCATTTATAATTCAAATAACAAACTGAGCGATGTTCTGTTTCATTTTTATTTATTTTTCTTTGTCGTAAAAATCTTTGCTTACTCTAATCCTGCCCATGTTTTCTCAGTTAATCCTCCTATTCAG